TATATATATATATAGAGTCAGTCCCTGCCGTGTATAATTTCGATGATTCAAACAATATTGCAAACTGCTATTAAGCTCTGCTATTAACTAGTCGTACTCTTATAGATTTCATATATTAAAAAAGTTTGGATATATCAAATATCCATTAATCCTATTTTCCGCCTTTACAATTAAATCCAATTTTCTGAAATGTTATTATAATTCTTTTAATATTTAAAATGAATGTGAGGCTAAATCCAATTTCATTTTACAACTCAATAGATAATTAGTAATATACATGGTTTCAGACAAAATGCTGAACAATTTAAGTAAAGTGGACACACCTAAATATTTTTTACACCATTAGAGAATTGCTTGCGATGTAGATGGTGGTGGATTAGTTATTGGCAATGCAGGAACCGGGCCATCTATCCAATGAATGAGCGAGTGCTCACTTACTTGAGAACTCTGAAAATGGTCCTTCAAGAGAGTTTGAGAGAATGTACAATGCATTTGATAAGCTTCGGCCTCATGAGTAGGGTCACCACAAATTCTATATAAATCTGTAATATTTCAGTTATATAGTTATACAGCTAATTAAAAAATTACTACTTACTTTTCAATATATATGCACATACCTTTTAAAATGGCAGTAGCCCACAATTGTACATGTACATCAGGTATTTTTGAAGCTAATTGCATCGCAGGTGTGACCATATTCATTGATTCTCTACTATTTCCTAACGAAAGAAATATATGTCCCAAAAGCACAAGACTACAGGAAGTGAGTCTGTTCAAATCTTCCGAATTTGCCATTTTTAAGGTTTCTCTAAGATATCGTCTGAAAATTATATTTGCACAATAATACATCAATATATTCAAATTGTTTCTATACTGAGATTTTTTAACGTCGCTAACTGAGAATCAAATTGTTTTTTACTTTTCGGGAAATTAAACTTACAAATTTCATTCCCATTTATCAGAATATTTATTAGGATATGTGAAAAGAAATATTTTAAAAAATCTTACTTTGCTTCATTGTATCTAGCACCGAAAAAAGCTTGAAGTCCTTGTACATAATATGCAGCTGCCCTCAAAGAATGAGAATGCGATGGTAGAGATTCTGGATTTATTCTTTCTAATAATACTCCCAGCTCGGCTTCTTTCTTTGATCTAAGATATACTATCGCCAGATTCAAATTTGCGAATGTCCAGAGTTCTCTCTCTTGTGACGTCTGAAAAAGATAAATCTTTATTTTCAATGTCTGCTATCGTGAGAAATACCTCATACATCTAATTATATTTATATGTAAAATTCAGCCAAAAAGAAAACAAAAAATAAATGTTTAAAAGAATATACGCAACTAATATAGATTAAAGACGTGACACATGTATAAAAAATTCTTGAATTATTTATTATATTTATTTATTACAATTTATAATAACAATTTTATTTCCTTACTCTGAGCGCAGCAGTGAACTGAGCCTCTGCAGCTTCCAAACAATTCATAGACATTGCGTATAAACCTAGTAATACATGTAGTTGTGGTCTATGGCCTTGAAGTAACCTAGGCTGCCGTCTGCAGAGTTGGCAAGCTTGAGAAATTTCCGTAAGAGCTACGCTTTTGTTTCCCATTACAAGCCGGCACATGATTATATGTTCCAAGAGCATTAATTGAAACACGGACAAGATAGGTTTATTATCGATAACTGTAAAATAACAATAAAGATTTCGATTTTGTGAAATATTAAATCAATAAAAAATGTAAGAAAATAATGTATTATGTGGGATGACGCGAAACTCCGTCGGAGCGGTTTGATTCCGACCTTCATCGCTTATTCGAGATTGATTGGAGAATTTGTGAATAAAGAAACAAAAGAATTGTAATTTTAGAAAATAATAAACTACTTTAAGCGCGAGCGTAGCATGGCAGACAGCGCGCTGGTCTACTATGCTAGAGGTCCCGGGTTCAATTCCAGTAGGAATCAAAATATTTACTTTCGTGTCTCCTTTCGGAAAAAGCCGGCAACCTCCTGAAAGTATCCTTTCCCACAGAAACACCTCTCGAAAAATCCGCCGTTCGGAACCGGCATTAAAACTATAGTCCCATATGCTTGTAAGAATTGAATAATCAGCGTGCGCATCACAAGCATATGAGAGAAGTATAACATAGGCCAGAGGCCTAATGTAAAAGAAAAAGACTAAACTAATTAAATTTTAATTAATTAAAAAAATAATACGCATACTTACTTTTCAGTTTTTCAATTTGACTAAGCGCTTTATCTGTATATTTCTGTGCTTTATCCATGTATCCGGCTTGCATAGAATGCATAACGGTTACTAAATAGACCAAGACGTATAAGTGATCTTTCGGCATCCATATAAACATATCTCCGATATTAGAGCCTGTGACTACCACATCATCTGTTGGCCAGCTGGGTGACATTATAGTCTGTATACTTTGTTGCAAGGATTTCAAACAAGGTTTCACGCTCTTTACCTATTTTAATAATATAAAAAAATAATATTAGAAGATGTTATATCCATACAATATTTCTATCTAAATTACAACACTTATAATTATTCTCACCTGGCCAGCCATAAGATAATGACATACTTGAAGAACTAGAAAATACACCTTTAAATACTCCTTTTGATATGAGTTGCCTTGCCAATTTTCTATATGATGGTTCGCTGAATTTAGAAGAGGATGAACCTCAGTGAACTTCTTATCTATTAATAATAGCATACACCGGCTTAAAAGAAAGAGAACTCTGGTATAACCAGCATTACTTATGTGGGAATAATCAACGCCTACTGCAAGTAAGCTACTTGCTGCAACAAAGTCCTTCTCTGAGGCATGAATTTGCTGCAATTCACAAATCATAACACACATATGAATACATTATTTATTCAAAATATAAAGAATTAGATACATTTAAATAAAAAATGCCATATATAGTGAAACGGTTCTTTGTGCCTATTAATATTTCTTGTAAATATAATTAAGATGCAATAAAGAATTAAGCTTGTTAAACTTACCGCAAGTTGAAAGATAAGTCTGCAATGCCAGTAGACATTGTGCTGAGACAATTCTATCGCCTTCCTCAAAATTGGTTTACTCAAGTTTGGCTGCAGCTGCTGCTGTTGTTGCTCATACAGATCTGCGACAATGCTGGCTGCTTCAAACTTCACATCGTCGAACGTATTTATATTCTGACTTAATCGCCACTAAAGAGAATAACCAAGCATTATAAATTTCATTAACACTCCGATCATCATTAACTTAAGTCATGATTGATATGACATTCAAAATTTACCAGATTGTGCAATTTATGATATAGTTAGAAATTTAAAAACTAGCTATTTATAAATTTGTAAATAGTAATTAGGCATGTTTGTTTTTTATTTATATATAAATAAATTGAAACGCTAGGTATATATACTAGGTATTGTATATTTTTTCCTAACATGATATTCTTTCTACTTGAAGACAGTGTATCAAAATATAATAACTTTGACTGCATGCAATTGTGATTGCAAGCTTTTCTTTGTGACATATGTTAATGTATTAAATTTCATTAATTTATTATTAATAGTGACAAAAATTAAAGTTAAATGTTAGTTAAATTAAATTCAGCTAATACTAATAAATATTCCTGAAATATAAATTATAAAAGATTTCTAAAATCCTAAGAAAACATTCCAAGAGTATTCCTGAATATTCCTAATGTAGTGAATTTTGTGAATGAAAGAGTCACTCTTCTCCATCATAATATCTCTAAAACAGTTGAGATCGAGAATCTTTCTCAAAAAATGGATATTTTATTGGTAAAGGCAAAATAAAAATCGGAGTTTCATCCCAAAATCAGAGTGACACTTGGGGAAGCTTGTTGCAGCTTTTGTTGTCATTAGACGTGAAGAGGTTAGGACAAACAAAAATGCAGATGTACGCGTGTAAATAGTGAATGAGGGAGAGAGACGAGGTGAGGAAAAGAGGAATGATGGAGTTGTTTGATCTCGATATGACAGATAAGAAAGAGGTAAAAGACTAACCGCTTGATCTAGATGATATCGCGCCAAATCGATGTTTTTCGTGTGCGTAAGCAGGATGTTGCCGAGCTGAAGATGAGTGCGCGCCTCGACGCGCTGTGGCGGTTTGAAATGAAAGACCGCTTGTAAACACTGAATGCACGACTTAATGTTAGGTGGGTTTGACGTACGAAAATTCTCGGCCAGACCGAGTAACGACAGATACCAAGCGTCCTGAGAAGACGCCATTTTAACATTTCACAACACAAACGAAGTTAGACGTATTCTATTACGGTTTGCAGTGACCTACCACCAGTGGGCATTGCAGACAGTGGTCAAGTTGATGCTAAGGCCAGATGATATTGAATGAGATTACAGAATGAGAGAAAATATAAGAAAAAATTAAAGATATCATTATTATCGACATTTTTTTGGAATTTAAAAAGTCTACATTATTACATCGCATCGATCAAATTCGGTCGTTTTCAGCTAACGCTAAATATTCCTGAAATATTTATAAAAAATTCCTAAAATCTCAAAAAAAAAAACATTCCTAGAGTATTTCACGATTTCCGAAATATTTGCGGAATGTAAAAGTAACATTCAAATATGAAAAATTTCATTTAAATATTCGTTACATATTCCGAAATAGACTGAAACTGTTCCATATATGTTTTGCAAAATTTTAATTTTTCCAGAAATTGCAAGGTCTAATCGTCCTTGAATCAGCTTTTAAACAAAATTTTACTTCGAACATACTTTACATTTTTTCCTGAGAGCCCAATTTTAGGGTTCCTGCACATAAAACGCGGCAACGCTTGCTGAGTGGCGGGAATTAGCGCAAGAGCCAATCAATTTATTGCTTTTTCATAAAAGTAAAAGAATGATTGGTTATTGCGCTAACTTTCGCCGCATTGACGCGTATCATCGCGTATAGATTCGATCAATCACTGATATTCCGCCGTTTTATGTATGCGACAATTTTGTTCCTTCCCTATGGGATTGATCACGTAAGATGACTTTAGTCACCGTCTACCTGTAAGACGAACATTTTACTATTGCAGCAATGTTGTAAAGAAATATTGTTGAACATTGCTGCAATCTTTCTGTGCTGTATGGGTTATGCTAATCACAGAATCTTTCTCTTAGAGATCTCTGCAAATTTTGCAAGCAGATCTATCAGTGCAGAATATTAGTAATTGATCGGATTCTTCAAGCGAAACTTATATTCTTTTCCAGATGATACTTGTTAACGAGTAAATGCTCTTCATCTTAGCCCTCTGCTGGTGGAAATATGTTACTGTTCGCTTATGTAATTTTCGTAATATATTACTTAGCGACGCAAAAATTCTTCTCAGTACGGCTATAAATGGACCTGATCAGATAGCGCATTTATATCATAATATTATAATAATTATTAAACAGATGTGTAAATATTACTCTGTTATGGATAATTATTATATATAAAAATTACGTACTATTCCTACTAATAAATAATAAATTATTAAATATTAAGAAAAATTGGAAGAAAATAAAAAAATATGACGCATTATCCTTTGATTTTACTGAATCTTTATAGATAAATTGAATTTGATCTATTTATAAAAATTCAGCGAATTCAAAGATTAATGCGTCATATTTTCTTGATTTTCTTCCAAATTTTCTATTAATTAAATTTTCTATTATATTATTAATATTTAATAATTACAATCATTTCTTATTGCCCAAGTAGCGCAACAACGTCTGCAAAGCATTAAAAAGCGCTCATTTGTGCTTTTTTATAAAAAAAGCTTTTTGATAACGTTTTTTTTTTCAATACTCAGTAATCAGTTATCTATGCATTCAATAAATATCATTATCTGCATTTATAACTTCATTTCTAATCAATTAATAATCAATTAATAATCAAATTAAAATTATCAATCAATTCAAAATCATCTTTAAGATAATACTTTGAATCCTCTCTTTCTTTGTTCATCTTTCTATTATTCATTGCTAAGCAATATTCAAATTAAATCTTCGGCAAAAGATTAATATAAGACGTGATTGAAGATTGAATCAGTCGCCAAGCCCTCTTGGTTTATAAAACTCATTTTACACATTTTTCTCTCGATAAAGACATGTTCAAAGCTTCGTAATCATCAGTAAATGATGTGTACAGGAAATCACACAATTTATTATTTCATAATAATGAATTTAGAAAATAATTATATACGATTAAGCCTATTTTCAATCCGCCTACATAACGCGATCAGATAAAGCGTTCTTATTTTCATAAATTGAACAAATTGCACGTACAGCAATGCTTTTCCACGTCAATGTAGGATATCCCCACCAGATATTCAACAAGCACCGAGTTCCCGCCAGCTGATCACCAGTCTCCTGTTTCGAATCGCGCGGGATTGAACGCGCGAGAGCTCGTTGATCTCTATCTCTTTCTTTCTTTTTTTTTCCATTTCGCGCGATGTCCCACGACCAATGCGTGCTCGCATTCTTCTTCGGTTTGTTGGCGTTCCTTCCTCCACGCGAAACTCACTGTGCCACGAACGTCACCGACATCGCGGAGCAGGTCCAGGCGGAGAACGCACTGGCGAAACTGGTGAAGATGTTTTCCAAACCGGGCGCGTTCAAGCGAGTAAGCCGGGGGATGTCGAACGGTGTCCCAGTTCTTAAAGTTATTCCAAAATTATGATTATTATGTTAAATTAGTATTATTAAATTATTAAATTATTATTTTTAAATTATTAATAATAAGAATTTTATTTTTGGACCGTACATTTGAAGATACAACAATAAGAAATAGAAGTAATGGCCGCAACGATAGAATACAAATATGCATGTAAGTACATATATAGGAATTTTTTTCAGATTGAATTATTTAAACATTAAAGATCTAACTTTAGTGACCGTTATATGACCATTACTTCTATTTCTTATGGTTGAATTTTTAAATTATTGTTATTTTTTTAATTATCCGAGATTGTACTACTAACTCTCACTTACATATCATAATCTTTCAACGAAATCTTTAGCTTTAAAATCTTGAGCATTAAGAATCTTGTAACAAAATATGAGCAAAAATGCTCACATTATATCTGTTTTGGCAAAGCTTCGATTCAGCTGGAATTTTATAAGATTAAATCACGAGTGTATTTGTGTCACGCGAGAATCGAAAATGGAAAAGTCAGTACCTTGAAAAGGCGGTCCGGTTTTTGCGGGTTCCTCTTGTAAGTCGAATTTTTAATTCCGAACAAATCGTTTCGTGATGCAATCGTCGCATAAGAAATAAACGCGCGCGGCATACAAGGAGAAATAATCACCGGTGTATCCTATTACGTCGCTTGTAATAACAAACATTCAACTTAATCCCTCTTATATCCATTTCCACCAATATAGATTAACTTAAATCTTGATTCAACTTTGCTTCATCTTTTTCTAATTTTAATGCCCGTTTCTTAATAAAATGTACTTTAATTTTTTAATCTTCAACTAATTCTTAATCTCTTTCTAGTTCTAAAAATCTAATTCTTAGAAAAAGATGAAGAATAAGTTCAACTGTGACAATGAGATTAAAGTTATGGGCTTTCCACAATAAGTTTTAAATATCAAATCATAAATACCATAAGAAATTGACGAAGTCGATATTCTTCTCACATTCGACTGTGTCGAAATTGGTCAATTTTTTTTTAAGATTTAAAATTTGGATCTTACTATAGAAAGTCCATTAATCTATATTAATAGAAACGGGCTTTAGAATTTAAAAAATTCCGAGAAAGTTAATCTTCATTGATGGAAATAGATACTAGACTATGGTTTGATTCATGCTCACAATACTCTTAAACATATTATTTGTCCTTATTTAATTATTCTGATAAATAACAAAGATAAAATAATTTTTACAGCGTTAATGACGAGCATGACTCAGCTTTAAGTGCATGAGATATTTTTCGGTAAACAGTACAAATTCAAGATTTAAAAAAAATTTTTTCCGATTTTAACTCGTTTTTTAATTTTAATTTTTTAATTTTAATCGCTAATTAATTGTAGATTTTTTACAAGAATGAGTGAAAATGATTTTCAAACTGTGAGTGATCAAAAACGGACTTTCTCAAAGTAGAACTTTCTATCAACGATTGCGAACGCAAAGCGATAAAGAATTTGTTTTTAAATCCGACGATGCGTTTGTATTAATTGATGACTAACATTTGTCGAAATGAGAATTTCATAACAGCGGCGAACATTCGCATCGGAATTCTACGCTCAGCGATGTAATAGCGATATAATGATGAAATATTTTTAGATCGACGCGATACTTGGTGAAAATACTATCGAGGCATCGTTCACGAGCTGTCCCATGGGCGAAGAGGGCCTGGAGTGTCGAAGGGCTGAGGCTCGACGATCAGTTGACTGTCCTCGAGGTAAATCCTCGTAACCGTCGCCGCAACGTAATGCGAGCGCGCATTTGACCGCAATTTCAATCCGTACACGATACCGTTAGCGAGCTTCCTCGCTATTACGAAAAGAAGAAAAAAACATCGCTATTTGCTGTTTAACAATAGAGATTCTGACCTTGACAATAGCCGCTCCCAGATGACTATATTCGCCGACGCAGCGTTAATGTCGCGCAACGCCTCGCCTCGTAATCCTCGCATCCCGGTAGCTGTGCAAAAATAACTGGGATATTATCATAAAATATTAAAGCGTTTTCTAGAAATCTAATTTCGAATGTTGGCTTAAACAGACTCGAGTGAAGCGACGGAATTAAAATTCATGCGTTTCAAGATTTAAATTTATCTTCAGATCTTAATTTAATTACCCAGCCAGAAATGATTAATCGAATCGACGTTGATTCGATAATTATTTCTAGTTGAATTAGTCATTTCTGATAACTAAAACGATATAATCATCACAGAAAGAAGAGCGCTGTAGTTATATTTTAGGTCTGTATCGCACCTTTCTCTATGTAATGAGTTCAAATGAGAACAATTTAATATGGCATTTGTGCTCGAGATTTCAAGCAACGTCGGAAGATGATATCGAGACGTTTGTTTGAGATGCTTAAGATTTCAATGAATATTCAAACGCCAGATCCTCATGGAATATACACATTAGAATTTGCTGTCGTTTTATCATCAGTGCTTGAGAAAGTCTAATTGCTATAACTAGGTGACAGTGACACATGTTACATGCAAGCACTTTCAAGTTAATTATACATATGTTCATACATTAGAGTGCACGCGAAATATGGCAGCGATTCTCAAGGTTTGAATATTACATGGGCGAAAACATTTGCGATCAAAATATTTCTAAATATACCAAGAAAATTATACTAGTTTCAGTTATTGAACGAAATTTAATATCTTTTGTAATTTTCTTCTTTTATTCGTTTTTGAACCAGGCAAACATTAAAATATGGTGAACGTGTAAAATTCATATGATATAAACTTGTTGATTTATTCGATATTATACAGTAATTACTATTAATTACTTATTAAAGATTACGTAAGTTATACTGAATGTAATCGAATTTCACTTGATGTCGAGTAATACAGTTCTTAAAATAATGCAAACAAATGCGTTATTTTTTTCGAATAATTCCACGTGAAAAATTAAATTTTATTCTTAATTCATAATAATTACGCGATTGAGAAACATCTTGCAAATGTCATTGTCGAGAATGTGTCCTTTATTATTTACAACCAGTCTTTGAGTAAAAAATGTATGCATGCGATATCTCACACGAGAAAATATTTAACTCGTAATTTTTTTCATCTCATTCTACATTTTTCCAACAATAATCCCGACTGCTTCGTGTGACTATACATAACTTCGCTTTTATGTTACAGGTTTGCAAATACGATATATGTAAGATACAAAATATATAACGGATAAGAGAAAGTAATACAGTAAGAGTATCGAAAGATAAATCATTCGTATATCGTTTTTTAACTTCATAACTGAATACAAAACAGGTTTTAAATTTAAATGTTTCAAAAAATATAAGAAAATGTTTATATATATAATATTAGGAAAAAGTTC